AAGAAAGCATGGAAGGCGTCAGTGAGGTCAGCGTGCCCTTTAGGTGAGTAGCATTTTCTTTGTTGTGTTTTATTTCTTATACATTTTTGTTTGAGGATTCTCCATTTTGTGTATATGCATGTCATATTCTCCTTGTCATGTATCCACCGCCTTCTTAATGAATCTGTCTATATCCTAATTGTAATGTTACACGTCTTACAACGGCGGAAAACGGGTTTTGAGCTAAGCGGTGGGCCAGAGGCATGAGACTCTTGACCACCGTTGTCATCAGCTTCGGAAGGTGCCCATTCTCACATACTTGGGGTTAGAATCAGATTACGGCAATATGGTCCAAGTGCAGACACACAGTTACCGTAGCACTCCTTTTTTTTCGATAAATAGTTCCAAGATTCAGATAAAGAAATATGTATAGCTAGCATAAAAACTAACGATGTGAGATCCTTCTTTATAAACATAGCAAAGAAGATGATCGCAGCTGACGAACATGTAGTGATACATAATGCTAACAGGACTGATTGTACATTGAAAGCTGACGCTGTAGCCATAGTCATATAACCAGCGGCTAGGGTCTGAAATAGAATTCCGATCGTATTGGAAATCGGTAAATTACAAAATTAGCGTAAACTACTTACGAATACGCCCAGGGCGATGAGATTCAAAGGATATGACCGTCGAACTGAGGTGCTGCACATCAAAACCAATGCCACAACCACAAAAATGCCCCTGAAAGTTGAGATGGACTGCGGTCTGTATAGTTTAACTCGGATTATATGATATAAAAGTATCATTTCTCATTCTGACTTCCTCCACCTGATAGTGAAATGTGCTGTTTTAACCCGAAAGCTAGCTGGAATACAAATACTACATTGTGAAGTAATTTCGAATACCTAGATCAACTGATAAGTTTCAAAAAGCTTTTTCCTCTTCTGGAACGGAAAGTGGTAGCTTCTTCTTTCTTATGTAATGTCCACTTTTTTCTACCGCGAAATGGTTCCAATTGA